TTTTTTTTTTTTTTTTTTTTTTTTTTTTTTTTTTTTTTTTTTTTTGTTTTACCAGCTGAAAATCATAGTATACATTTGTTATAGGTAAATTATCCACCTCTACGATACTACGTATGTGGGTCTCAGTTTCGAGGATATCGGCGCCTCGGTCGAACAATACGGCGCCAACATATTAAATCCGAATCTGAACGACAAAGCTTTCTTTGGCCGAGGCGTCGAAGCGATAAACGCGTAAAAATAGACAAGTCGCTTGATTGATTCTAGTTAATAGTGTCGTAAGTGATTTTCTTTTATCCATAACATAATATATGTACGTACACATGTACTCACCTGTACAATCTTAAAAGAGTCTTTCGTGCGTTGCCTGATGGTTATTGTTCGCGCCGCTTAAATGCCATTATCATTGTAGGGTACATATTTATGTATATGCAGATAAGAGAATCGTTTGAAACGAACAAACAAAAATTCATTGAAAAAAAGTAATTTTATCAAACAAGCAGTTAACAAATCACCGTTAATTTAACGATCTTACCGCCGCTAACTCGAGAAAGGGCTTAACGATCGCGAGCACCATGAATGTATATACATATAATATGTGTTATATAAATTGCGTGCACACGTGCTCATTACAGCTATACATGCACGTACGTGTATGTTATAATGCAGGTGCTGCAGCAGTCGTATATGACTTATAAATATAGCGTTTATCAAAATATGATCAAGGCTAATTCACGCTCCGAATAATAATGTACACATCATGGGTATGTAATCAAATCACAGCCCGGATGGAGGAAAAAAATATGCAGCGCTAATTAGTGCAATTTCAAAAACTGTTGGTCCTTGCTCGTGATGCATCGTGCGCGCGTGTGGGTATGCAAGTGTAAAATGTACCTACTTGCTTACACATTTGTATAGTACATGAAATTATGCTCGCGCGATTGAAGTTGAGTGCCATGGCGCTCTTTCGTTCTCCCGTGGAGAGCTATATATATCTCATTACTTACCACCATCAGCGGGACGAGACATAACGAACGGCTATGTAGGTATAAGTAGAGGTACGCGACGACAGCAACGGCTTTGAACACAATCGTTGCAGAACGTGTGCGCCCAATACTGGCAGGAGTCAATAAACTGCTTGATACGGTTTTGGAGCAGCGAGAGACAAAAGGGAGCGAGCCTGAAAAACAATTTGCCCGCTCGTCTGCGCACGTACAGTGTATGTCAATTGGATGTGTACTTTTTGCTTGAAAAAAAAAAAAAAAAAAAAAAAATATCTACTTTTCAATAAATACATATAGGTACGGCTGCAACCCGATGAGGAAAGAAAATTAAGGTGCCCCCGAATATCGCATGAGTACTCATTGTGCAATAGCTCTCCTTTTTACAGTACATAGGATCTTCTCTCTTTCAAACTGCATAGTGTGTAAATATATAACTGGACTTATAATATACACCTACGTTTATAATAATGCCTAAAGTTTTGCTTTTGATGTGCTAAACAGCCTGGCCATGCCAAGAGCCGGTGTATAGCAGAGTAAGTTGGTACAATATATGTATATAATTACAGAAGAAACACAAGGAGAGTATAGAGGCCGAAGGTGCGCTTGTACGGTATAAGCATTGCAGCTCGTGCCTCCGAAAGTCTTGTGCTGGCTCTTTGTTTTCATCTGTCTCGTTGAGCTAATCCCCAGTCTTGGACTCTCTTTCTCTCTCTCTCTCTCTCTCTCTCTCTCTCTCTCTCTCTCTCTCTGTTTCCCCTTTTCCAAGTGTATTGTATATAACATGTACCGTTATAATGCAGTGCATATATATGTGTCAATAGAATTTATGGTGATTCCGAAACTTTCGGTAACTCGATGCTTTCCGGATATACTTGAACCATTACAAGATAATTGCCATTCGCGCTGTACCTACATTTTTACCATTTTTGAAGATTTTACAGAGTAATTGTGATTTGCCGCGAAACATCTTTGGCTCTTTTTTTTAATACATCTTCCAGTATTATATACGTACAGGTATACCCTGTCTCGCACAACCACTGAATATATATATGTGTGTGTGTGTGTGTGTGTGTGTGTGTGTGTGTGTGTGTGTGTATATGTATTGTGATAATGATAAAGTATAATATGTGTGGTACTGCGAGACGATCGGATTTTCAATGTAGGTTCACAACTGTGAGTTTTTGTAATAGATAACAAAATAAGTTGGGTGCAACCCTTTAAAAAAAAATCTGGATACCCCAGATCTTCGTGAATAGGTCGATGATCGTCCACCAAAATCATCAATCACTTCCTCGTTGGTTTGTTCCTACATTATGATTGCCTCACTCTTATTCTCGTAAACAAACGTTTAACTGTTTATCTATTGGTGTGGGGAAATGAAGAAAAAAAAAATATATATATACATATATGTTTAAAAACAGATAGGAAGCGAGAAGGAGACGAGTGCAAGGCACCCCCTGCATCCAGACATCGGAGATGGCATGCACGTCTCGTGAAATATGACTAAGCACTACAATATCGATACCTCGTCTCTCACGTTTTTCTTTCTCTCTTTCTTTTTCAGATACACATCCCAAGAAGCTGCTGCATTATATATAGATGTGTAGCTGCTGATGATGATGATGCTGCATGCCCCTGCACTCCACTGTCAGAAGCTTGAGAGGACAAGCCAAGAGAGTTTATAATATCATAAATATATATTATACCCTGCCTCGCACGAATGTACCTATACCAACGCACGACATTTCGGAGCACAGCCAATACACATACATATACGCGTGTCAAGAGGTGGTCCGCGGAGAGGCAAGCAGCTTGCGGAGGACGCATGCGCTCTCCGACTCCGAAACTCCGACCGAGGGACTTTTCCTCTCGACAGCTAGTGCTCCGTCCAGTGCTCGCTCTGCTGGCGACCTGACGTCGTCGTGCTCGCTACACCATACACCCTATGCACCCAAGTATATGTAATATACGTTACCTACGTAATATAGTGCGTGAAGTGCGGCGCGCGAGTGTGTGTCATCGGTGCGTGCTTTCCTGTCATCGGGCCGCCGAATGAAAATACAGGAAAAAAAAAAAAGTGCCGTGGATGTTGTTACCTGGTGGTCGTTGAGTAATAAGCAACCACAATCATGAAGATCGGTGATTCCGCGATAATACAGCGGCCCACTCGTCCAGGTGTGTTCAAGTGTCAGCACCAGCAGTCGCGCTTGTACATCGTCGGTGGCTCCGAACGTGTTCTCCCCGCCTATTAGGTGTTGGGGAATTTTCTGTAGTTCAAAGAGGTTGGAGGAGGTGGTAGCCCGTTGAAAGGGCTATCCTGTGCACTGCTGGGAAGTCGATGCGCGCCGAGGGGACCAGCGCTGGTGCAATGGCTTCGGTCAAAGTGGCCGTGAGGGTCCGGCCCTTTAACAAAAGGTTTGTCACTCATCTTTACTCGACTCGTGCCATACTACAATATTAGCCATTTAACTAGTTTAATACGGGCGATCAATGCGTGCTTGCATACATACATTATACATAGGTATTTGTCGCGCCTCTGCAAATGCATCTCTCGGGCATCCACTGTATAAGTGTATATATGTGCATGTTCTTCTTCTTCTTCGCCTCCTTGCGTTTCTCTCCTCGATCGCTCGATGCACTTTTTTTTCGGAGCAAGCTATCGTGATAGTACTCGTACAAAAATTATACTTGATTCACCATTCGAGCTTTGTTTACGTTTTGTTTGCAAGTACGAATAGTATATAGGTTACAGCTATTTTGAATTATCTTACGTATGTGCAAAGATAGACGATAATCTGTGCACCAGCAGGTGATCTCTAAAAAAACTTTCACTCCGGAATATCTATATTTTGTAATCCCCAATGGGCGCTCGTTTTGTTCGAAGCCGTTCCGTCTTTAACGAGACAAGGAAATCGCGCGCATTTTTCAGACCCATGTATACAGTACTTTAAACGCTCGATGTTGGATTTCAAGGCGCGAGGACGAGCTTTGGCGAATCTATTATAGGTAATACCTACACAGTCGCATATATAAACCTCTACCAGCTATCGATATATACATATTTTATACGCGTCGATGGCACATTTGGTAGTGTAATACACGTTTCAACGCTACGATTTGTCGTCGTTCGTGTATATTTATTACTATCATTATTGTTGTTGTTGTTGTTGTTGTTGTTGTTGTTTTCTTTTGAAACAATAACGATGATCGCAGCAAAATTTTATAATGAAGAAACCAACGGTACGAGGAGGTGTATATGCCTACACATTTCACTTTTGCACAAAAGCTTTGCTCCAAGGATTTTAACAACCATGTGCCATAAATTCAACGACCTATGGGGCAATTTAAAGAAATGCGCGAAGCGTGTACACTAAAAACTTACGGTTCGCTTTATTTTACGGGGAATTAAGCGCGTGTTTCTTTTTCTCCGATGTACCGTTCAGATCAACGAACAAAACCTTGAATTGAGAAATTGTGTAACGTACAGTTGCAGTTTTTAACAACTTTAAGATTGCTCGATGATTGTCGGCAACAATTACGTATCTATTATCAGCGATGCGTCACTTTATATACATTTTTTTGTTCTCCGTCGTTTTTACTTAAATACACGGCTCCCGAGGGCCATTTCAATATCACCAAAGCGTTTTATTTTCGTCACCACGTACCATTCGTGTATCGATTATTCTTCGTATTCTTCTTTTCACGGTATATATAGGCACTCGAGCAAGAATTCATGCAATGTTACGTAAACGATTTCAAATCAATGCCACTAGCGTGTGCATGAGTATTTTCCTTCCGCCACCGATATTATATATACTTATCTCTCGCGGTTTGTTTTGAAAAGCGTATACGTATTACGTTCATTGTTTTCCGTTAAGTGATTTCTACAATTCGTCGTGCAACAAAAAAAAAAAAAAAAAAATCCATCACAGCTACAGCTGTCTATTATACAAACATACACTTACGGACCACCTGCTGTCTGTCAGTTTTGCTTTTGCACGTGACCCGAAAGAGCCGTTTTTCTCCTTCGAATCAATGATCCCTTCGCGTCGCCTTTGACTCATAGGTATAACAGTCGGTACTTTTTACGCGTGTATACATTATTATTATAAACACCTTCGCGTATTAAAAAAGGGCACGGAGACTTTATGCTTTTATTGTTCCACACAAATAAAAATTACACGGTTCATTGGTTCGAAACAAAGAGTTTCTTTCGTTACACCTAATCATGCACCTTTGGCAAAGTTGTACCGCTGCGTAATCACAGCTAGTCGATTTTCTCGATTGCTTCCACGATCACTCGTGTACGTTTATTATATTACACACACACACACAATGTGTGTGCAAGTGAAATAATTATATCGCTGTTGGCATCGATCTCAGCTCAAGTTGCTCAGGTTTCAGCTCTTAACGCTCTATCGTCGAGGGAGTTTGTATTACTCTGTTATTCTACTTTGATTATTTATAAACTTTCTCCTCTCGCATCGTATTTTACACTTGTTGGGAAAAAAAAAAAAAAAAAAAAAAAATATCTACTTTTGATTTTTCGCTCAAACTCGATGATAATAATCTACTCGATGGAGAATAATAACCCACTGAAACAAAAAAAATAAAAACTGAGAGTCAATCTTGGATTCGACTCCATCATCTGACAATAAAAAAAAAAAAAAAAAAAAAAGAACGGGAGCACGCACCGTATTATTTTCTTTCGGGAATTCAGAACTCGCTCTAAAATCAGCGAGAAAGTTTTTTTTTTTCCTTCCACCGAAACCTTGAGCGACATTTACACGCAACTACTGTACTTACGCACTGTTCTGTAAAACACCCGAGGCACACTTTGACGCGTCGAAATTCGAAACAACAAACACGCGGGAGCTGAACATTATGGGATGTATACCTACCTATAGTACCTACTTAATTACATCTCTCTCTCTCACTCACTTTTTTCTTTTGCTCTGTGTGTTGCAGGGAGTTGGCGATGAACGCCAAGCTCGTCGTTCAGATGGACGGCAAGCGGACTCGGATCTTCAACACGAAGGTAACACAAATGTATATTATTTATATATGTATTAACATTATCTTTCTATGTAACTATAAAAAAAAAAAAGACCGCGACACACGCTTTCGAATAATTGGGCGCGCGAACGAATCGCGCCTTGTACGGAGATACATATATATGTATGCTAAACTGGTCTTGGCTGTGCAAGAGTGCGAAAAATGATACACCCATACAATTTATATTATATGTTATACGTTGTGTACTTGCTCTGCACGCAGCCCAATTAACTCCCGTCCGACTGAATTCCGAACGTGTGATTCGCAGTACAGAGGGAACACTTTTTTTTTTTTTTTTTTTTTCAATTTCATGTAAGTGGTGCGCCTGCATGAATCGCCACTCGATGCGCGCGCGCGTGTGGGCTCGGATTTTTCAGGCGCTTATCAGCCTCTCGGGGTTAATTAATTAGACCTGTTCGGATAACGGGTGAAAGTAAATATATGCCAGGTCCGTTGGGTGAATTGTATCGATAATGACCGCTTGATTCTGATTTATGGGAAATTAATACCGCTGCGCGTGATGGGGAGAGTCAATAAATACACCGGCTTGCGATTGGCTACCGGTCTTTGTGAAAAATGTCAAAGTAAACACTACACGAGAATCAAATGAAATCGACAGTATAAATCCATAGTGGTTGTGTGTATGTGCGCGAAAAACGACGCGTGTCAATTGGAAAATGCGTATGTTGAAAAAAGGAAAGCGGTTTTAAGAGGACTCCAATATAATATACCACATTGTGTGCGTTCATGTGGATATACGCGTATATAACGTAATCCTTCCCTATACATTGAAACGATAGAGCCGACTTTCACGAACTTGAAAAATACAGTCCGACGCGCCAAAGTCACGATCCCTCGTAACGTAACTTGTTCATTGCGTGCTAAGCATAAAAAAAAAACACGCGTTTTTGTTATAATTTTCCATAGCAAATTTTCATAAGTAGGTACAAGTACCTATACGAGCGCTGTAGTTTATATTATATTGGTACGTTTGAAGGGTGTGGTTGTAATTACGCAATAGTAGAGCTGGTAAATTTTTTAGATTTTTTTTTTCTAAAATTATATGTATACAAAAAAAGGTTGCAATGGACATTTTTCAACATATATTTTGCGCCCTACATTAGCCATCATGCATTAACGTCCAGTTTGTTGTTTCGCTATGGAGATGGATTAAATATTTTGTATAAACAGCTCAATTTGATTGTTTGTCAAAACCGTATACACATATTATATTGATGTTGCTGCGATGCATTTATTTTTACAACACTCTCTAATTTACAGTTTGGCCCTTGCCTTCTCAATAAACGTCCACCGTCCAAGGTTTTAAAGTACCAACATATACAGTCACACACGCACACAAGTATAATATAAATATATCGCAATGAGCATCGGGCAGGCCGGAAGCAAAAATTTCATGCCGCCGCGCATACCAACACAGCCAACCGCTGAGCCGTTGTTTTTTTCCCCCTTTTTCCAAGCACACGCATACACAAGAGCTTTGGTTTTACGCGCATATGTGTATTCATACATGCACGTAGCACCGAGAGCATGCAAAACCATCGAATTACAATAAATGCAAACCCTAGTACACGTTGCACGATACAATATATACAGATAGAGGCCTAACTGTCACGTATTAGATATATATGTATTTTTTTTTCTACAAACCTCCGCAGTCGAGCTTGACGTTCGACCTGCTTCTCTGCCGGTGGTTTCCTATACTTTTTTTTTGCCTGTGCCCCCCCCCCTCTCTCTCTTTCATCCGTGTTTATGTGTACTTCCTTTTTTTTACCCTTCAACCATCACCCTAGTTCTCGCCCCTTTTTTCCCGTTTGGCCGTATTTATATACCGTTCAGAGAGCAGTTTTGAGTTTCTCAATGTGCATATACAGTATACATATACGTATCGGATCGAGATACCGATATGTACACTCGTACCTATACGGATTGTTCCGCACGGCTGGTCGAGACGCGACGTTTTTTTCTTTCATCCACGGTATAGTCGTATAGTATATATATCAAAGAGGAGACTTTTTGGCGAGAGTCGCGAACGAATGCTTGCACGGCAGCATAGTAAGAGCTTTAAAGCTTACCCCGACGAGATTCGTGCGCACCGGGACGCGACAGACAGCGGCTCTGAATGGGTCTGAAGGCAGTTTTGTGCCTCTTCTGCTCTTTTGACATATACTTAATATACGAGGAGTTGAATGAAATCACTCAAATATGGTGGCTCGCCAAAATAATTGTTTTTTCCATATGTTTGTATCTCTCTGGAGTTTGTGTCTGCTGTATATTGACAACCTTTCGTTTTCTCCTCGTATTATTCCGTCTTTGTACGATTGGCCCTACACGTCGTTGTTACCTTCCGCGTGTGGCATATACGTTAGAAAATTATTAATGGCCGTGGCAGAGGTTGGAAAAAACATTCATCGCACCTGGCAGTCGACCAGACACATTTTCAAACGTATGTCTGTGCGATCGTGTGTATATTATTTTTTTTCTCTGTCGATCAAGTGGCGTGGTAAACAAACATTTTTTGAGACGAATTTAAATTAGGAAGTGAGTTGACTCTGTGTATCGTAGGTATCAAAGTTGGAGAAGGTAGTCGACGTGTGGCTGTATGTTTTATTCTGTATAAATGTATATGATAATTTAAATGATCCCAAGAACAGTTTGTTAAACTCGTCAAAAAATGACAATACATTTATACACATTCAAATAAACGATACTGTATATTGCTGATTTTATTATTATTTAGGTGGAATAGTAACAAATTTGTGCATGTTAAAAAAAAAAAAAAAAAAAAAACAGGTGTTTTTTAGATTACAAAGATTCTCCAAAGAAATCGCGTGAGAAATCAAGTGTTGAATGAACCGTGAAGAAACATCGCTGGTCCGTGCGAGGCGCTATCTATATTGTTCCTGATCAATCGGACCGTGTATAATAATATAAATATATGTGATACGTACGAACGAATCTTGACCTTTTGGTACTTATCGGAGAAAACAAAACGACGAGCACCGATAGGAGGAGGGAAAGTTATAGAAAGTCCATATACACATGCCGGACTAGCGCGTAGTGTGAGAGCACACGTAAGCCCCTTCTCACCATTAAAATAAAGATATTGAAGAAAGAGAGAGAAAAAAAAAGACAATCCTACAACACGGCAACGCTCGTAAAGTGCAAAATACATGATGTATCGTATATATACACACCCTGCATGAAAGCATAGTTGCGCGCGTTTTCCAATCACGCCGATCTGCTTTGTACAATCGGCTCCCGATCGGCCGAGCCCCCTCCGTCCTAACGCCGATCAGACGAGCCTGAGAAACGTAAGCAGCTAACGCGCGTCTACTTACTCTATATACACTTGTATAACTATTTCGTACGTATAATACATGCGCCACTATGATAGACAAGAGCTATTATATAGAGTATAGAGGTATGTATATAGTGGGGGAGCGCGGTCAAGCGGAAAAATAGCTGCCCAAGCAGACTGTTAGGCATGCTGTGCCTCTTATATACTTTATATACCTACTTATCATGCACATAATATATGTTAATAAGAAAAATATACGTGTATATATATATATATATATATACACAAATTTATATAACACATACACATCACCTTACTCCAATTGAAAGCACGCGTGTCTCTCGCTACAGAGGCTTTATCTGTACGTATAATATACACATACGTAATAAAGTAAGTACGCGATGTGTGTACCTATATACATGTTTATAGTATATAAATATATTATACACGCGACGCTTGCGGCATCGATTACTTCTTTCTCTTGTTACAATATATACGTGTAGGTAATCACTTGCAGCAAAAGTCTGCCAAGCTGTAATTAGGAGCGTCTTGCGCTGTCTTCCTCCTACTTATATATCATGCCGTACTTATTTTTTTTTCATGCATGCATATGTATGTGTATGTGTTTAAAGAGCGCACTTTTCGATTTAGCTCGTGTATTACTTGTACGAGGAGACGTGCGACGCACGTTTAGTTTTCGGGGGGTGGGGTGGGGAAAATTGAAAAACCGAGCAAACGCGTGTGCTCCTTTCAGACTCTTTTTGACACATGTGGCTATTTTTTTCTTTCTCATAGAGTTGGGCGAAAACAAAATTTGTTTAACAAAATTTTGGAAACGCGCACAAGAGACGACGATGATGATGTTAAAGTGGTGATGGCCGATGAGGTCATGGTTGCTTTAGTTGATGACCATCGGAGTGGGTGACTAGCCGACGTGATTGTTTTTCGAAAACGATAAGAAAAAAGGAATGAGTAAATGGCTACGAGAGAACGTGGAAACCTTATATTTTTGTGTCTCGTGTATTATACGAATAAAAAAAAATGTTATTTCAGGAGTTGCCTTGGGGCCATTTTTTAAAATTAAGTAAGATATCGAGAACGTTGAGTGTCTTGGGAATATTTTCGTGTCTATTCTTTCATAGTGACTTTTACATTTTCATTCTGGAGATCAAATTTCGACTTGATAAATATCGCAGAAAAATTACAAACAAATACCTATATTCGCTATGTCCTAATTTTAAGTGTCATCTAATGTATTTTTGTTTTCATCGAGTTTTCTGTTATTTTACTTTTGGGTCGTGACAAAAAAAAACTATAATATTTAAGGAATTGGTTGCATCGGAGACTGCAAGTGAAAGATATTAGCACTCCTTTCATGTAATGTCTAAATTTCCTAAACAATCTTTGAATGTCGCTATTGAAATTCTAACATAAAAGTCAACCAATCAGTAATATGTTGAATTATCACTTTATTCATAAATTGAGTATTTCATTGAAATTTTTTCATAACTTACAATGTGTCGATGATACTTGAAAAATTTACAAAAATAACCCACTTGCTGTTCTCGGCTTTGTGAGAAGTTTTCCTCCTTCTTTCCTGCAGACAATCACATATACACTTACTTAATTTAAAAAAAACATTCACTCGAAAATTGTATAGTCCGTAGGTGAAAATGTAAGCCAATCGTCAGCAGCATTCATATAAAACAACAATATACTTATATACATATGTGATTGAAATTCAAAGTCGGCAAACTTCCTTCCCGGGGGAGGGGAAAAAAAAAGCAAGCTAACAATAAATCAGAAGCAGCGCCTTACTTGTACATACACGTATATATCCACACTTGTGTGCACACAAAAGAGTACGAGAGTGGACGCGCTCCTAAAACGTTGTAAGCCTTTTTATTTACGAAAGTACCTACATAAAAAAAAAAAAAAGTATAAATACTGTCTACTCGCAACAGTGTACGACTCAATCGCTCATTATACACTTACCATTTCAAAATGTAAAAGAAAGCCCTCTCTTTCTATAAATACGCTTATTGTACAGGTATATACATAAAATTTCGAAGCGCACAATAAAGCGCTTTCTTATCGTTCACCTTCGTCTATACTCTCTGGCCTTTCAACTTATACGTACACGGTACATGTACAGGTATATCAAGTACAGCAGCGACCGGAAGTCTTCCTTGTATATATAGCGACGTCTCGAGCGACGTAACGCTACTTCCCCGAGACATTACGCACATAAAATATTACATATACTTGTAGGTGCATGAGTCAGCTGCGTATATTATCATGATGACGCCACGAGTACAATTTATATACTTTTTTTTTTTTTTTTTTTTTTTTTTTTTTTTTTTTTTTTTCAATTTCATGTACGAAACTGTCAAATGAACACAGTTGACGATTAACGCGTCGATTCGATTATTTATGTCAAGTNTTTTTTTTATCGTCACGTGTATATGTATAGCCGCAGGTGATTGCGCATATCTGTCAAAGCCGAATTGAGTAATGGATTAATCTATTACGCATCGGAGCTTTAATCTCTTTTCTCTTTTTTTTATATAATTATGTGTTTTTTTTTTGTTGCAGACTCCGGGTAGCGCCAACAGGGAAGCCGACAGGGACAAGTACAAGGACTTCACCTTCGACCATTCGTACTGGTCCTTTGAAGCCGAAGACGAGAACTATGCTTCCCAGGAGGAGGTAAGCTATCATTAAACAAATGTCCATAACATACTTTTTTCTTCCTCTTCTTCGTCTTCGTCTCTTTGCGTTTCTCTTCTCGATCGCTCGATGCACTTTTTTTTTGGAGCAAGCGATCGTTATGGCTATAATATACCCAATAGGTGCAAAATTTACCTATTCGAGTTTTGTTTGCAAGTACGAATAGTATATAGGTTACAACTATTTTAAATTATCTTACGTATGTGCAAAGATAGACGATAATCTGTGCACCAGCAGGTGATCTCTAAAAAAACTTTCACTCCGGAATATCTATATTTTGTAATACCCAATGGGCGCTCGTTTTGTTCGAAGCCGTTCCGTCTTTAACGAGACAAGGAAATCGCGCGCATTTTTCAGACCCATGTATATAATTATACAGTTGGCGAGACTTATTGACCATAACGATATTTATAAGCATACATGTTACAGATAATACAGATCGCATCCGGTTTACTTCGACTATTAGTGTACTTTTACAATTTCTTTCTCCAAGGATCTTTTTTGTGCCGTAATGCTTTTGCCCGGATTGTAACTATTATCCTCGTATCGCCTTTTGCTTCGATCGATCTTACCCGATTGCAAACTATTCTTATAGAATCTGTTGGAAATATTACCATATTTTATTGATGATGATAACAGTGTTAAACGAAATTAAATTGTTTTACCTTTGTTGAAGGATGTAACAGGAATCCTTTTGTCCCTTCAAACTTGATCCATCACGTGTCTCCCCCGAGTACTTTTACTCCTACTGCACTGCTACGACTGCTCGCATGGTCAGGTGTACCTCATGATTCTTTCGAATCCTCACATTTTTTTTCAAGCTCGTCCTCTTAATCCTTACCCTTCTTTTGGTATTTCTTTAAGCGATCTTTCCTACATTTACTCTTTTTTTTTTCTTCATTTCATAAATTTTTTTGTTTTGTTTCTCGAGCCACTCGTGTAGATAATCGTGATGACTGACACCGTGAGATCGAGAAGCTGATCTTTTAATTCTTCTTTTTTCGCATTTGTTTACGCACCGCTTTTCTCTTTTTTTACTCGTATAAATACCATACCAGGAGGTAAAGTTTCGCGTGTTTACTAACGTTTCGGCTCTTTTATTTTATTTTTATTTTTTTTTTATAAGTTGTCGAGCCAATCAGTACTTAAACCTGTACTTATTTCCAAATAAACAATATTATCGTGTTATCGATTTCGACATGAGCGCTGCGACTGCATTATCCCGCTTTTGTGTCTCCGGCTGCTTAATTGATACGTGGATCCGATAGCTTCTCCGTACAAATTTTGCAGAAATTATTTTTTCCTTCAAACACCAATTATTGAAATGGTCCCCAAAGTTATCTGGAAATCAGATGTTGACATAATCGTTTACCTCTCACATTAATTTTCTTCGACAAGCCACAGCATTGTTACATCCACGTTTTTAGCCAAAAAATTACCCTCCCGGAAATTGCGAAAATTTACAATTCTTACAGTATTTACTGTACAAGGACGCAGTTGTTAGTACCTACCTTGTACGTATAGGTGGTACATATCACGTGCGTATAATAGGACACGAATCCTAGAGAATGTGTATAGGTATACTCATACTATCGCGGTAGCGCGAAATCTGTCATGTCCGTCAAAAACGAGGGAAGTACCTACGTGTCGCAAGAGGAGGTAAGCGATGCGTTGAATTTTTTTTTCTCTCTTTCTTCTTCAGTTTAAATCGACAATCCATAAAACCGCATGTCCATCCTGGGAGTGGCCGTGAAATCCACTTGGCTGCTTCTCAAACATAAAAACGAGTATTTTGTTACTGCGAGGGCAAATAAAAGAAAAACATTAATTAACACGTATAAAAATACAGCCGAACGCGCGAGTATTACTTTATTACGGTGCACCGATTTCACGCGAGAAAGTGAAATCGGGCAAACCGTGTGTATACATACACATGCACATACTCAAATCGATCGCCGCGTTATGGATTCAAGTATGCTCTCTTCCGCATCGAGGATTATATTTATTTTTGTGGTATATTTATATGTACGTGTCTTACGTATCGATGTATTGTTCAATGATTTCCGAATATTTACTGCAGGTATATCTTGCGACATTGACAAGAAGCGACACACATATTATCACATTTTAATCGGAGTCGAATGAAAAAAAAAAAAAAAAAAAAAAAATTACCCACCGCGGTTTCGCGTAATTCCTCCTGGAATTTGACGATCGAGCGCGTGCGTGTGTCGCGTGAAATGCAACGTGCGCGTAACGACAATAATTGGTGCACGCGATATCGAGCGAGTGCCGGTTTTTATGGTTGTTGAAACTTACAGGTATATTTACACCTATAGTATAAGTGTACAATACAACAGCACTGACGATGTTACGTACGTGTGGATATCATACATGGTACACACATAATATTTACATACTCGAGGGGAAGAGACCGGCCCCACTGGAAATGATAATATGCACATAAATGAGCGATTTCAAATATGCTTCGATGGTTTTTTAAAAAAAATTTTTTTTTTATTATGTTGCAGGTATTTTACGACCTTGGAACGGAGGTTATAGAAAGTGCCTTCGAGGGATACAATGCCTGCGTCTTCGCTTACGGACAGACCGGCTCTGGGAAAACTTTTACGATGATGGGCTCGCCGGTAGGCTTCTTCTTCTTCTCCTTTTTTTTTTCTTCGCTCCGTTTTTTTGGAATTATTTTAAAGCTTACCGTGTAATAACTTGTAATGAAGTTAAAAAAACAAAAAAATTGAACGCATCGGTGAAATGGCAAACTTGTAAAATACATTCACGCAAAATCACAGCAATGTCTTTCGGTGAAATGTAATCGATCTCACGTTCGTCTTTGATTCGATCTTGGCAGGAATCTCAAGGGCTAATACCGCGGATATGCAAGACGCTGTTCGCGCGCATGGCCGCGGGCAAGGAGAGCGGCGCTTCTTACAGGACGGAAGTTTCGTTCCTCGAAATACACAACGAGCGGGTCAGGGACCTACTCAGGCCCGACCAGACCATGTCGCACTCGCTCAGGGTGAGGGAGCACCCGAAACGCGGCCCTTACGTGCAGGACCTGTCCAACCACCTAGTCTACGATTACTCCGATATACAGGTGAATGGCTTTCACGAGCAACATGACGTATTGGTACAGGTTTTACGCACTCGTCGATTTTTTACCGATCTCCAAAGGGATCGTTAATCATTTTACTCATTTGTGTTTGCGTGGGCTCATTAATTCGTACTTATCGACAAAAGTACCAATCAGGGAAACTCGATGATACGGAACAGGTGGTACTGCGCGGAGCAAAACAACAAAGGGTGGAGGTTGTTATTATCAGCGCGTAATTTTTTTTTTTTTCATAGGAATGCATGGTCAGGGGAAACACGCACAGAACGACGGCCAGCACAAACATGAATGACGTGAGCAGTCGGAGTCACGCGATATTCACGATAACCTTCGTGCAGGCCGGCTTCAACGAGAACAACATGCCGTCCGAGACGGTGTCCAAGGTGCACCTCGTCGATCTGGCTGGCAGGTAATCTTCGTCGAGTGATTATTGGCAAACTCGCATGACTTTTCGCTACATTTTTCATTTTGAATGACTAAAAAAAAAAAAAAAACAACGAAAATTAATGAAAAATACAACAGCGAAAGAGCAAACGCGACTGGAGCGACGGGCCAGCGACTTAAGGAGGGTGCCCACATCAACAAGTCCCTCGTGACCCTTGGCTCGGTGATATCGGCCCTCGCGGAGGTCAGCTCGAGCGATTCGTCCACTAACTGCATCAACAATAACAACAACAGCAGCAACAACAACAACAACAACAATAACAACAGCAGCAGCAACAATTGCAACAACTCGAGGCGCAGCGTCTTTATCCCTTACCGGGACAGTGTGCTGACTTGGCTGCTGAAGGACTCGTTGGGCGGTAACTCGAAGACTATCATGATAGCCGCCATCAGTCCGGCTGATTGTAACTACGGCGAGACCCTGAGTACCCTGAGGTACGCCAATCGCGCCAAAAACATCATCAACAAGCCGACTATCAACGAGGACGCGAACGTCAAGCTGATACGCGAGCTCCGAGAGGAGATACAGAAGCTCAAGTCGCTCATCGGCAAAGACGTCGTGAGTATATAGAATTTTGCGCTTACCCCCAAACGTATATATATATATGTAAAAATAAAATTGTACCCGCGAAACTGTTCGGTCCGACGTTTTATTTTCGGCCGGGCGAGCGCGAGCTCATCCTCGCTAAGCTTAATTTTATACTTACCCATACGCGCATGGGTGTACGTATTAAGCGCACGCGAGCAACGAGGTCGCGAGTTTAACGACTCGGATAAGTGTCGCGAATGAGCACTGCTCCGTCGGACGTGCGCGCTCTCTGTAAGCGGATCGGAGATGTGTACCTGTTCACCTACACCTGTAATAGTATCGGAATGGGTGGGAAAAGAGGCCCTGTGTGTGTTTTATTGTGTAGCTCTTGCTTTGCCGATCGAAACGATTGGAGGCGTAAAAACAATTGAACTATCGATTCGAGGGAATTCGCAGTCAGTTGCGCGGAATAAGTTTTCGGGGGGAGGGCTTGTTGATTTTTGTTGTTTATTTATTTATTTATCTTTTGATTGTATAAAAAACTAAACGTACTAAAAATGTAAATTACCAGTGTAGAAGCAGTATATTGATTTTTGAGAGAGTCAATTTTGTCGCATGGGAGGGAAAAAAAGAAAACAAGCCCAACAAACGCCGGGATCAACCTTGGGTTCAAGAGGGGATTTGTTTGTTTGCTCCTCTTGTCTCTTTAAAGCGCAGTAACGAAATCTTCATTCTGTCAACTTCATTTTAATATTTAAATTAAACAAAATAAAAAAGAAATTGAAGGAAAAAAAAAAAATTTTAACCATCGTCGTCGCAGAGCATCGAGAGGCCGCAAGTGCTCCTCGCCCAGATCCACGAGAAACAGGAGCAAGAGAAGGTACTGACCGAAGAGTGGACGGAAAAATGGCGCGAGACGCAGAAAATCCTCTCAGAGCAGCGCGCCCTTGGCCTCCGAAAGAGCGGCGTGGGCGTGGTACTCGACTCGGAGATGCCCCATCTCGTTGGCATAGACGACGACCTGCTTAGTACGGGCGTCACGCTCTACCACCTCAAGGAGGGCAAGACCCTCGTTGGCACGGAAGAGGCGCTCACAGCACAGGTCCGGTTAATTATTGATTAGTAGCACCTGCATCAGAAATAAAAAAAAAAAAAAAAAAAAAAAAAAAAAAAAAAAAACGAAAACTCTAATATCTCCCGACAACAACGAAAAAACAGGACATCGTGCTCACGGGTGCGGACGTGGAGCCGGAGCATTGCGTGCTGGAACTCGAGGACGGCGTCGCGACGCTACAGCCGCTCTCCCCGCACTGCTGGATCAACACTGCCCAGGTCGACAAGCCCACCCGTCTGTCCCAGGGCTGCATTATCCTGCTCGGCCGCAACAACATGTTCCGCTACAACGATCCCGTTGAAGCGGCCAAGTTGCGTAAGGAGGGTAGCTTCATCGGCAACGGCAACCTCCAGTCGACGGTGGTCAACCTGTCCAGGCTGTCCCTAATCAGCAGCTGGAGCGTCTCGGACCTCCACTGCTCGATCTCCAGCGACAACTTGCTCAACACGAGCGAGGACCTGGAGGAGCTTGAGCAGCAAAAGGCTGCCCTCATCAAGGAAAAGGAAGACTTTAAGGTAGGTGCAACGACTACTACTTGTTTCGGGGAGACGTTATTATTCAGTTGACGAATCCTCTAAAGTTAGTGATATCAAGCGCTTGGGCGTGTGTGCGTGTGTGTGTGTGAATTTGGTGTGCACGTAAAAAGTCAAAGTGGTTTTATTATGGTGGCGAGACTATGTTGTGACAATATGGTGTGCTCTTTGTCTGTGCGTATGTCCATCAATTAGCGGGAACAGGAGGAGCGAGAGGAGCGCTGGACAGCCAGGAGGGAGGCCCTGGAGGAGGCGCAGCGCGATCTGGAGCGCGAGTGGGGTGCACAGTGGCGCGAGTGGGCCGAGGGTATAGCGGCCCTCGAGCGTAGGCAGCGCGAGCTCCGTCAGCGCCGACAACAGCTCGAGCAAGAGCGAAGGGACGGGATGACCCAAGTAAGTGACGATCTCCCGGATGACCCGCCAACCGGCACGTTAAACGTGTTATCGGGCAAGCACCAGTTATACCTCGCCCTCATCGCACTTGGCGTACTGATCTGCCTGTCCAGCAATATCATCATCTACTCGCACGTCTGTCCCCTCGACATGTGACGAGCGCGATTTTTTTTCATCAACATCGTTGTTGTCGTTATTGTACCCCTTGGCGCGATTTTCTTACCCGCACTTGACCGCCACCCCTGTGATCGTTATTTACCATCACCATCGCCGCCACAAAAACACCGCCCCTCCCCTTGCCTGACTTTTTTTTGTTTTCCGTGTTCATTTCGCCGTTTAGTCGCTCGTGATGAATATATACGTTATAGTATAGCAGTAGTGAGAAAATTTGGAATCGTTCAAAGAGTCATTGTTATTGGTTGACGATTTTTCCTCGATTTAACTAACCGTCATAACTAATCACAAACATTGGAACCGTCAATTTGCATGAAGTAGGAGGACATCAAAAGTTGCTCGTTGTAGTCAATAAAGTTGCAATGTCCAACCATTTCTAGATTAAATTGCATCGTTTAATCTAAAAATGTGGTGTATAGCCAAGTACGTTGGAAAAGTGTTGAATAATTGATATTATTATAGTTAATGAGTAGTTTCGTAGACGAATAATCATGTCGATAAAAAACTAGTTCATTAATTTTGAGAATGATAATTACCCGTTATTTGTATATACATTTAAGGATGTAAATATGAAAGACTTTGATATTTTCGTCATATTTTTTACCGAATTTTAAAATTTGTTGAGAATTGCGTGATCAGATTGTACAAATTCTTATCAATAGTCTCTAGATGTTTGTGAAATTATAGAAAAAAAAGTTAAAAATCGGTGAATAAATGATTTTTCACCTGCTGTTGTATTATGATATACTTGTTAAATTCATTGAACTTTAAATCATTAACTTATTTTTTTTTTCATTTATTTTTATACAACGAATGTTTTCGTAACATGTTGCAAGTATCAAGCAATTTATACAAATTTAAAACTCCGATCGCATTTGAAAATTAATTGCAAAAGTATTTTTTTTTTAACAATTTGCTATTTACAGTTTTCAGAGTACTCTGTTAATTAATGTCTTCAAGAGAAAACTTAATTATACATAGGAAGTCATTTAACACAATGTCTCCTCGAAAAAATATGTTTGCTTATTCAAAGTATTTTTATAATTTACAAAAATAATAACGCTAATGAACGAAACCGTCACGACGACGATTCAAAGTACAAAAATCATCGTGGCTAATAATGTTTATTTTTGCAGATTACCTTTTTTATATATATATATATTTTTTTTTTTTTTTCAACAGTTTAAACAATTATTCACGTAAACCTAACATATGATGAAAATAATGTGCCTAAAACTGCCAGTGACTCGCGTGCTCGTGAAGACGATGGTATTGCCGGACATTCCAAGGAATGTTGTTAAAAATAGTTGACTGTATACCGTTATTTAAACAATGAAATATTTACGAATATACCACAAAATGTGTAAATATTAATCGAACGAAATATCGTCTTGGAACATAATATGAAAATGTTCATGGGTTTGTTATGCGAGACAAAAAAAAAGAATTGTTGTTAATATTAATATTATTATATATTATAAACACAAACATTTATATATATATTTACACACACAATATATACAAATATACTGTTGATTAATAAATTTTTTTCCTATGAAAAAAAAATGGCCTTGGTTTCAAGTTTCTGTATAAGTTCTTACATTCTTTTCTTTATTTTTATTTTTTTACTCTATTTTAAGGTGCTCTTGATTCTTTTCAGTATTTAATCTTTTTGTCTACAGTAGCACCTAATTTGGTAACTGTTCACTTTGACAGGACGTGAAAATCACCTGTTGACTGGCTGAATAATTAATGATTCATATAACGTTTCAGTTTGGTACTTGGTACTTTATTTTACATTTTGTTTTTCAAGATTCGTCTGTTTGTTTGTTTTTTTTTTTTTTTTTTTTTAATTTTATACAAACAACCTCGAGCATCAAGACATGAACGTTTATTAATAATGAAAGGTAAGACATGAAATACGTATTTGATGTGCTTTTAATAGTTCGTGCAATAAACAGCCAATAAAACGAATAATCTTTTCACTTATAGAATTATTTAGTCGGTAACAGATGACTTACATGTATCCTTTTTAATTTTAATGGTAGAAGTAAAACACGCTCTAATCTCTACTACTAATGAATAATTGTTGTTATTTTTTTAAAATTACTTTTTATCCTGAAAATTTCCATCCGTCACTTACAATTTTTACTTTTTCCCATTAACAAACTTAAATATTGTTTAACCATTAGATGAATCTATTGTTTTCCACATGCACCACGCATCTTTCATTACTAATCGAATTAACTTTGATGTCAATGCAATGTGTATCGTGTGTCTCTGTGCGCGTCTGATATGTTTATGTGTACGTGGCTGAGAACAAAAAAAAAAGAAAAAAAGAAAAACATTTTCATCACGTATTTTCCGTACATCTCACAAATTACATATGTACATTAGAAACGAAAGTATAGAGAGATAGATAAAAAAAAAAAAAAAATTGATACGACTGAAACTTAGAAAAAAAATATGGGGAACGCTGCGGCAAGACTTCCGACCCGTTGCAGGTAAGGCGCCAAGCTATATATGCGAATCACTTTTTACTCCATATCGTTAGCTTGATAAAACTTTGACACTTTGCACTGATTTCCATCTAATTTTTTATTTTTTATTTATTTTTTTTTTTTTACTCTCAACATTGGATTACACGGAGAATAAACAAAAACCGTGCAACTCATTGGTGCTTAATATTGCATTGTTTTGCATGAGCTGTCAAAATGTTGCGCTGAAAATTAATAACTTTGTAAATATTAATAACAATACCTGTATGGAGTAATGGGAATTAGTACGGGGCAAAACGCAGCGAGACCACAGTTCTCCGTGGAATACAGAAAGTACAGCATGACCCGTTGTTTTCCCGACCCTTGGATTGTTTTTTTTTTTTTTTTTTTTAAACGTGTACGCGTGCTTGTGCCGTCGATGTTGATCTAGAAAATCGCAGTAGTACGTACAGAAAGCGAAACCAAAAGCTCTTAGTCGTGTTCAAATGCCACCCAGAGTCGAGTGCCATTAGTGTCGTAGCTCGAGAGAAAAGCACCGTAGATTTTTCATTGTCTTCCCTGATGTCCCCTACCCGATAGTGCTACATATTATTACCGTTGGTTGTGCTACACGTACCTACTGTTATACCATGTATATTCCTCCATGTCCATCATAATATTACTTTTTATTATTATTATTATTATTTTAATCATTACCATAATTATTAAATTTTTTTGCACAAAATTGTTAAATTGTTGTGTTGATTTTTGTTATTTTTAACGCATCGGTGTGTTATGTGTGTGTGCGGCTAGGTAGAAAATTTGTGTAGGGAAGTCGCCTCACTGCGCACGACGCTCCAGTCCAAGCATCGTCAGTTCCAAGAATTCATGAACGTACAAAATCGCACGCAGCCCGGGCCCCAAGCAACATCCAAACAGGTAATATAAACATCAATCAATCAACATGCCATTGTTTTATACTCAATACCATTTTTTTACCGCTTGATTATTATTATTTTTTTTTTTTTTTTTCATTCCCAACGTCCATTCACAATATTGTACAGTACACGCTCACCCGTTCGTCACCTGCACCTTATGTATACTTATGTAGGTATATTTTTCATTCGCAAAGTCGCTCCATCGCCTTTTACCTTCGTCACATCAACTTCCTCATCCGGCGGCGTATTTAGTATGAATTGCAACGTATATTATTTATGCGCACCTCTAACGGGACCCTCGCACTCGTGACAGTATATAAGCTGAAAAGTTGGTGTGTTATGCGATCTCGAAATCAAATAATTAATATTTTACGGGAGCAGATTTCATGAAAATCAATCGATACTGAAAAATATTTAAAAAACCAAGAGTGTAGAAAATATTTACTTTAGCTTATGCTCCAAGCAGGCAAAGTTTAAGTAAAAATCTGCTCTTAAATCTGCATTTCAAGGGTGTACCTTACAAAAACTCTTTTTTTTTTTAATCATAGGGAACATGAGACTTGTGATTTAAAAAATTTTCCCCATCTCTTTGTATTTTTACATCACTTCAAATGGATTATCAGTGTTATTCTTTAATTATTTTACGAATATGTTGGTACCAAAAATACTTTCACCACGAAGCTTCAGAGAGATAATCTTTCGATGCCACAGAATGTATATAATATACCTATACATTATACAAAAACAAAAAAACACATTGTACATAATTATTACTATGCACGTATAGAAAAATACCAGATTTTTATCGTTGTTTGGTGATTAATGGCCAAAGTTAAAATAAAAGTGACTTATTGGCGCATTTAATCTACATAATGTATATTTATTATTGCTTTGATGATGTTTTTGTAGGTTTCCCGCGTCATCCGCTCCGAGTCGACTCTATATTTAAAAAGAAACTACCACCACATTAATTATTTAGAAAACTTTTTCTTCGCACGCGCGCAGCGATCCCTACGTCAATGGGCGTCAATTAAAATTTCCATTTATTAACTTAATCCGCGTATTGCCATTATTTCCGTGATGTATATAGTGCATCTTTTTTTTTCCTCCTCTATTTTCCCAGACTGACGAGATGGGCGCCAAAAGCGATGTCAGCATCCCGGAGTCTTGGTCGAGTATCAACGAGGAAAAACCATCGGACGACACGAAAAAGTTGGTCAGGAACAACGTTAGTTGAGCATTGAAATGATTTACTTTTTTTTTTTTTTTTTTTTTGCACGACTCGCTGTATGTTGCTAACTGACGAACAAATCCAATTTTCAGAACGAACTCGAGGCGCTGGAGCTGGAGCTGCAGAAGAAAATAAAAACGTTGAACGAGCGCCAGAGCAAGATCGACAAGGTCGAGGAGGAACTCATGGACCTTGCCAAGCGGCAAAAGGAACTCAGCAACGTGAGCCTTTTTCAAAATTTCATTTAAATATATATCCCATCAACGAAATGAAACAATCTCGCTCGTTGAATTCCAGCTGGAGCAGGAGGGCTTCTCGGAAAAGAAGCTCCTGCTGGCCGCCCGCTCCAAGGAACAGCTGGAGGACATCATCCGGCGTAAGCGCAGCCTATCTCTGAACCTGAAGCGTGCCCTGCCGGCCTCGCCCTCCGACAGGTACTCCACGGGCAGCGCCGACGGTAGCGAGGAGATGCTGTCGAGTACCGACCAGCTGCTCATCCCGTCGCTCTTCACCGAAGAGGAGAACCTCAACCGCAAGCGCATGATCGCCGCGGCCCTGAATCTCGCGTATCCCGACCTCACGAGTCCTGTGGAGAACGACGAGTTCCACACGGCGCCGGCTGAGTCGCCCGACGTGCGGCCCGAGTTTCCCGGCGAGGGCAAGGAGGTGGAACGATCCCTGGTTCCGGAGAAAGAGGTCGACGAGGAGGAGAACGGCGACGCGGACTTTAAGACCTCCGTCGATGAGATTCGGGTCTTTGAGCAGCAGCGAGTCGACAACGATGCGCCCAAGCTCAATGGAATGGTGGTCAATGGAGCTGTGGACGAGAAGGTGACTTGGCTTTTTCTTTTCATTCACGGTTTATTATTCCAAGTCAGCGTATAATATTAAATCGCGTTTATTACCCGTGTCCAGAAGTCCCCTTGCAAAGAGCATTCGGTCGAAGAGAACGACGATACGACAATAATGGACAACGCGTCTTACCTGGAGTCGATGGAAAAGTCAATACTAGAGCGTAGCGTGACCATGAGGCGGCTCAACCAAAAAATCGCGAATCAGCGTTCGTTAGTGCTCAAGTGTCTGGAGGCGAGTCCACAGTCCAAGGACGAGCTGAACCGGCAGATACTTGCGCTGCAGGACTTGCAGAGGCAGCAGATCGAGCTCGAGGTTTCGTTGCTCGAGCAGGAGCGGAAGGCCAACGGCAAGCTGTCGAACCATATCGCTGCCAAACATATCACCGCTTGCGGGAACAACGTCAACTGTGATACAACGTCACTTGCGTCGAGCGTGCAATCTAGGGATGAAGGACGGGTGAGTACGCCCGTTGCTCTTCAGAAGGAGGTGGATCAGTCGATGTGCGACAGTACGATGAGCCTCGCGGTCCCTGTCGTTAACGGGACTCACCAGCAGAGGTCGAGGCTGTCCAGCGAAGGGGAAGATAGCCACAAGCTCAGGCGTGCCGCGTCGAGGGCAGTGCCCCCGACTCGTGGCTACTCCTCTGTCTACCTTTCGGTGAGTGTTTGTTTCGACAGAGACGAGTGTAGTGACTATTGGTTTTTTAAATGACGATGATGATGATCGTTTCAGAGCCAGAACAGAGGCGATCAGGGACTAGTCAGTCCGTACGCTCTGACGATTACTCGATCCTTACCGTCGCTCTCGGCTAACGAGACCGACGGTGAAAGCATCATAAGCGTGATTATCAGTGTTCCGTCTTACGTGATCCGGGGAGCCGGCACTTCCAGTCACTACGAGTACGAAGTGCGAGTCGTCGCCAGTGATGATAGCTGGACGCTTTTGCGCAGGTACAGGCGCTTTCGAGAGCTGTACGTTTCGATGCGGCAAAAGTACGGCAGCAAGGTAGGCCCGAGAGAAATGACAGCAGTAAAAACGTTTGAAAATTTTTATTTTTAATAAGTACGTGTATTCATGCAGGTGGCAGGTATTCGTTTCCCGCCGCGCCAGGTGTTCGCCAAATACGAGACGGTAGCGAGGCAGCGTCGCAAGCGTCTCGAGGATTATCTGCGCAAGTTGATCTTGGTGTGTTCCGAATTGCCGAGTTGTGAGTCGCTCTACAAGCACCGGGGCAACCTCGGCAGCATTGACAAGCAGTCGCTTCTCGAGTTTAGTCCGTTCTTCCGACGCGGTACCTTTGAAAGCAGCAAGTACGGCACTAGTTAGAATATTTTTTTATGTTTAGATTTGACTTTGAAAGAGCTGGTGTTTGATCTTTGTTTTACGATTGATCTGATTATTATCATGTCGTTATGTTTTTTTTTTTTTTTTTTTGGAGTGAACATATACTACATACCAAAGTCGATAAATGCGAGGGAATACCCAAATACTTGACTATCCCTACACACTGGTGGAAATGTGCATTTTTTTTATTTATAAAAGGTCTATTAGGATAAGTTACAAGAGTCCAATTGATAAAAAAAAAAGATTGGGTGGATGATAAACTTTATCGTTTTCTCAAAATCTCATTTCACCGTTTATATTTATAATCATGGCGATTTCGTGATTTAACATAATCATCCAGTCTATCAGAGTTATAAATCAATTTAGTAGGCTGTAGAATAAAAAAGAGAAACAAAAATATTTTGAACGGTTCCGAAATACCTAGTTGTATAGTTTTAAAGAAAAAAAAATTATTATTTTGTACATAATGAAACATTTTTTTACGAAAGATGTACTTAGTGTTTATTTTCCCGATGGGCTATTAACCTAATTACGGAGTATACGTCGTATACACACGCGAGTATCTTTTACACGTAATTATGACTGAAAATTGAAATTATTGGCCTGTTATAATCTTCCTTCATATTATTGCTTAAAAAAATATCGTTTTAAGTGTTTATGAAAAAATTGTTTCACTATCAAAAATTGTTAATATCATCCTAGGGCGTAAATTGTAAATGATGAACGTAATCATTGTTGAGATAATGCCTTGATAAATTGTATTCTTTAACAACGGCAGGCATCTATATGTTACGCAAGTGCAATAAAAAGTTGTAACTCGCCATATACGTCGAATGAAATTATAACGTGTTAACGGTAATTAGGGGAGAAAGTCATTTGGCATCTTGAATCTTGTTCTTTGCCCAAGAGACTTTCGTGAAAAAAAAAGTTATCCCTTAGCACCTTACATGTATTGAGCGTGAAATCTTGAAAGAGACGATCAACTAAAATTTTTTTTTATAAACAAATGAAAAGCAAAGTGACCAAGATCTGTACACCTTGTAGAAAGAAAGAAAAAAAAAATTAAAAACATAAACTAGCCTATTGTATTAAAATATCGCTATGTTATTTCTTACCTTTATTATTTCCATCACCAATTACAGATATAACTAAAAAATACAAGTATTTTAGTTTTACCTGAACAACGCTTACACTCAAAAATAATTCAAGTTCTTATCATACAAAGTTTTTATTAAGAAACATCGTGTTTAATATTATTATACAATTCTAAAAATTTTTAAGTCATAACGACGGAAGAAACAGTCTTCAAAATATTTTTATACTTTAAATGGAATAAAAAAAGTTTTGTTATTTATAGACATAACGCGCTTAACACTATTAGTAGAGTAAGTCCTTTTAATGATCTTTTTATACGTCGCAGTATTACCTAATTAAGTTAGAGCTTCACTTTATTGTATAAAAAAAGTAAATAAAAGTTAAATAAATATCTGTTCACTAGCGAGACTGTTTGTGAACGGGGCAACGATTACGCGTGTTGCGAAATAAAAGGTCAAACCAAATGTTATGGAAATTGGCAGAGCAGGCAAAGCTTTCTTGAATATTGCCAACAACAACAGCGTTAAACACAGTCCCTGAAAAAAAAAAATCACAATTACATAAAAGTTTTTTCTTACACATTATAATCTACATTACATTATTACTAACAATTAAAATAGCGACAAAGCAGGCCAGAGTCGTGTTCCAGTCGCCATAGCTTGAAGCCTTGCCAACAAGCACGCCGTAAAAAATAAAATCTCCAAGTCCGAGTTTCACGCCTTTTTCCTCTTGCATATTCATTTGTTGTTGACTGTATGTCATTTGAGTACCTGGTTCACCCTGCCGTAAGCCCGACCGAGCGTGTTCTCTGACTTCTGCGGCCCTGCGAGCGCTGCGATCGGCTATGAAATACAAAAGACTCGATACATATTAAAGAATTCAGTCACACATTAATGTTTAAAATGTACTCCTAGTTTAAAATATTTCATTCATGCAGTCAGACATGCAATCGCAAACAATACTGTTTTGACATGCATCAGACAAAATGGAAACAATTGTTTCTACCGTGGGTTTCAATCCACTCTCTTGTAAACCCACCATCTTCAGTTTCACTGGATACCGAATTGTTTCGATTTTGCGTCTGAACTCTGGCAGGTGACGATATGCTGTCACCAGCAGCAGCATCACCACTCGTCATTGTTGCCGCCACCACGTAGCCAGTAAAGTTCATTGTAAACGCGTACATAACAGTGGACGAGTAAATCAGAGCAGGGAATATCGATTCGTTTCGTTCTTGAGCTGTTTCGACCAATATTCTGAGTGGGCCTTTCGGTGTTAATACTGCTATCAAATCTATTTGTAATAGAAGCAAAAAAAATATTATAGTACCAGAATAATCAACATTTTTAAAGAGTAAAAGATAAAAACTTACCCCAAATGCTAATAACTCCCAAGATGGCCCAACCTGTCCATTCTGGCAAATATTTGATAAAAACAAGAGCTAATAAGGCAGCAATAAATATGAGATATCCTTGTTGTAGCTGTAAAGGACCCTGCCAGTGAATGCATACCATGCCTACAATTCCAAAGTTCCAAATAAATATGAATAATGTTATAACATCCATCGGTATATTGTAGGCTTTCAATATTTCTCTGAAACAGAAAGTAATTTTATACAATTGTTTGCTTCGATTAAAAAAAAAATGTTTTTTTTATACTCACTCGCAATACAGAGATGTAAACATAAAGAGTAGAATCAAAGAGCTCAGGATCAACCAGGCATGGATGGTTTTGTAAAACCTATACTTGTACAAAATAATTAAAACAATGGTCATCACAACAACTACACACAGTAATATCAATGCATTGGCAGCAGCTTGCCAAGCTTTGGTACCCCAATCATTAGTTTCCTCGTGAAATGGTGTGTACACTCTGCGAAAAAAAAAAAAACTCTTGATAATGCAAACTGAAATTAAGAACACAAGTTTTCGGTAGAAAATTGTACTTACAAATAAATTTCTTTACTAGTATAAAATTCTATTGAACTAATTGTGGCTACGACGACTAACATACACAGAGACACAGGAACAAATAGTTTAATGACATGAACGGCTCCATATTTAAGTTCTTCCTCGAACTCGTCCTGCTCGCTCTGATCTAGATGACCAGGATGGCTGGGTGGATTGTTGGAACGATCCGGCTGATCTCTTCCTCTCCTGCTGCTGCTACCATCTTCGATGTGCACCTCAGGAACTCCATTTTCCATCTGCTGAGTTAAATATAGAGAGAACAATTTTCAATTCCCTCCCAACTTGTGGGAAGCAAATAATACAAGCAATTACTCATATAACAAATACACAAGTACCTCAATGCTACTGGCAACTTTGGAGCTGGCTTTTTTGCGTTTCACAGCAAGGGCTGCGTTGCCCGTATCGGCTGCAACATGACCGTCCATCAGGCTGGTGTATTCGTTCGCTCCGTCGCAATCACTTTCAGACATTCATCAAACCGTAATCGGCTGAACGACAAACTAAAAAACCCGTCAACTGGACTCCTTTGTACTTCACTTTTAAGGATTTACTTATCCTCGAGTATTAAAGGTATACACACCAATAAAAAAAAACCCTCTTCAAAGTTGTTGAACAGCGAAATTAAGATTTTGCCATTACGGTCAGCGAAATCAGAAAGCTACTGCTCCGGGTCTTGAAGAATCGTAAACTTTAAAATTTTTTTGAAAAACTGCTGCTTCGATCGAATTACTTACTCCTTTTAGTAAAATGTTGGTGTAAGTGGAATCCTTATAAAATCTCATTACTTTATTTTTCTCTCTCCACTTGACCCTTGTACGGAAGCCCGGTCACGACATCTACCTACATAAAACTAGGGAGTACTGGAGTGTGGAGTTATGGAGTGCCTACTCCACTCCACTGGAGTAGGTTTTTAACTCAAAATCAGCAACGCGAGATGGCGCTGATTGTAAACTGAACGAAAATTGATAGAACACTAAAAAAAAAACTCAGCATGTTATTACTATCATGTTAATACCATGGCGGCAATGTTAATAAGAATGTTTGTTAAACGAAGGTAATTGTTTGTAATTTCCCGAATTATGGACTACGCACATAAAAGTGAATTTTTTTCTTAAAAGTTCGATTTTAAGAATTAATTTTTAGAAATGTCATTGCCAAAACATGTTATTGTAAAATATATAACCTAATTTGCTAGACCAAGTTTTAATTACATAAATGAAAATATATCATTATTTATAAAACTTTCAGTGTTACCAAAAGTGTGTTGTGTGATACCATCGTCAATAATCGAGCAGCAAAATTGAATGTCACTTTACTCGATTTGACGTGCATACAATGCAGTTGTTACCACAGTACATCTTATCTTTTGAAGAAAAAAAAGTCTGTAGAAGAAAAAAAAAAAGTAAGAATAATTTTTTTTTTTTTTAATGTAAAAGGTACAAAATTCATTAAAATTTTTGTCTCCAAAGTTAAAAAAGTTACAAGAACTGGCTTATCTGAATCCAAAGCAAAAGAAAATTGTGCCAGTTATCGATGTCTGGAGAAACATGACTGTAAAAGACTTGGCAGCTTCAGCTGGACGTCCTATAGATGACATTTTGGATGCTCTTTTCTTTGTTGACAACGAAACTGCCTATGATGGTGATTCCATCTTTGAGGATCCACAAATGGTATATGAAACTGTTAAAAAATTAGGTGCTAAATATAAAGTTATTTCACCTCCATCAAAGTCAAATAAAGATGATGACAAGGAAAATAGGGATGCTGTTAGACGGTAGTACTATAAAAAACGAAAGTTTCATTCATAGTATGTAGGTTTCAATATTTCTTATGTTTTTAGACCTCCACCAGACTCTTCAGTTCTCGTTAGGAGACGTCCTATTGTTACAATTATGGGTCATGTTGATCATGGCAAAACTACACTGCTGGACTCTTTGAGGCACAGCGCGGTAGTAGAGTCAGAATTTGGTGGAATTACTCAGCACATAGGAGCATTTAATGTTACGCTAAATTCGGGTGAAAAAATTACTTTTTTGGATACTCCTGGACATGCTGCATTTAGCACGATGAGAGCCAGGGGAGCTACTGTAACAGACATAGTTATTCTTGTTGTTGCTGCTGATGATGGAGTTATGGAACAAACTATTCAAAGCATACAGATGGCCAAAGAAGCTAACGTTCCAATCATAGTTGCGATAAATAAAGTTGACAAGCCAAATGTTGACATAGTGAGTTCTCAGTAAATTGGTATCAAAATATTTGTATCAAATCTCACAGTACTTTTTTTTGACAGAAAAGAACTCTTCAAGGATTAGCTGAACAAAGTGTTTTTGTTGAGGCTCTTGGCGGCGACGTCCAAAGTGTTCATATATCTGCCTTGAAAGGAACTAATCTGGATCAATTGATGGAAGCAGTAATTGCACAGGCAGAAATAATGAATTTGCAAGGTGACCCGACAGGACTAGTCGAAGGCGTCGTTATTGAATCGACGAACGATACAGGACGAGGCAAACTTTCGACAGCGTTGATTCAGCGCGGTACTTTGAGAAAAGGCGATGTGCTGGTCAGTGGATTGGCATGGGCCAAGGTGAGGGCAATGTTCGATCACGCTGGTGTAATTGTTTCCGAGGCTGGACTCTCGGATGCCGTCCAAATAATTGGCTGGCGCGATTTGCCGGTCGCCGGGGAGGAGATTTTGGAAGTCGAGAACGAAAAACAAGCCCACATGGTGATGAAATTTCGACAGAACAAGTTGGGCGAGAAAAAGTCCATCGAGCAAAAAATAGTCGCGGACGAAAAGAATAAACAGCATCGCATTGCAAGTATCTAAAACTCAAACGATGCGTTGTGACGAAAAATAACAGTCTACTTTGAATTTTAGGAGTATGAAAAAATAGTACTGAAGAAGCGAGCACTAGGCATAAGGAGACTCAAGCGGGAAGGTCCAAGACAAAAAGAAAAAGTTGCAGACGATTTTCCACAGGTAAGCTTGATCCTTAAAGGCGATGTAGGAGGATCCGTTGAAGCTATAATGGATGTTCTTGACACTTATGGTAGCGAAAACACGTGTCGTGTGTCGGTTGTTCATTATGGCGTTGGTCCAGTTACTGAGACTGATGTAGAAATGGCTGAGGCATTTAATGGTAATGAAAACATTCTTTTTTTCACTTTTAATGCGGTGAAAATACAGCTTTGAGAACCACCAATAGATAATTAATTATTAATTAATCGTAATGATTTTTTTAGCCATTATTTACTGTTTTAATACAACTGTACCTCGTAATCTATCGCATAGAGCCTCAAAGAATAAGATTTCGATTCGTGAGCATAACGTGATATACAAATTAATCGATGATTTAAAAGATGAAATCAACAAAAGACTTCCAATGGTCGAAGTTGAGGAAGTGATTGGTACGTAAAATTGTGAAAAATAGTTAAAATTTCGTTTACAAAAAAATTTGCATATTTTAATAAATTTACCGTTTAGGTGAAGCAAAAGTTTTGCAAGAATTCGAGATCAACGTGAAACGAAAAAAAGTAAAAGTTGCCGGTTGTCATTGTACAAGTGGTTATCTAAAGAAAGACGAACTGTTTAAAGTGGAAAGAGACGGCGAAGTCATTTACACGGGAAAAGCGACCGAAATGAGGCATCATAAGGAGGAAGTCGAAAAGGTAAAGGTCAACACAGAGTGTGGATTAAAGCTGGAAAAGGTCGAAGGTGGCTTCAAGCCAGATGACAAGATCATTTGTTACAAACTTGTTGAGAAAAGTCAAGAGATTGACTGGGATCCTGGTTTTTAGTCAATTTTTTACCGAATGGATAATTTTTTACGATTCATATATTTGAGTACTGTAAATAAACATAGATAGAAATTTGTAAACAATTTTTTTATTTTCCGAAAATCTGTTAAATTTGCTGTTAAATGTTGACATAAGGAAATGGAGGCAAGGAAAAGGCGTAAGAGAAGCTCTCTCGGTTCAGATTTAAGTACAAATTTATTTCGTCTAGTGGAAGAACCTCGTTTAGTGAAATTATGCTATTCAGTCGACGGTCCACTGACGGATCTCTTTACTTTACAATTTTTCGTTTGTACACACCATTGTTCATCACCATTTCTTTAAAATCGATCGGCCTACCGTCGCTCAACTTTGGCACCTTGTTCAATTTCAGAGATGAAAATTTCCTTTTTCTAATAACAAAGAATGCACACATTTTCGAGTTCGAATAGTTTCTACACAAAAATAAATGCCTTTTATAAAGATACGCTTTGCATCAAAGTCCAAGTTGACAGGCACGAATCGAGTAACTACAGGAAAAAATGCAGAAAATCGGAAAAAGGTTTTATGGAGAAAAGATTTATTTTACTTTTCAAATGCGAGTTTTGCATGTCTGCAGGTGTGCGTTTAAAATTTACATGTGAAAAATGTATGCCGTGATATAAATTATTCCATTAAATCTTCACTAATAAAAATTTCAGCTATTTTTATTTTTTCTGCACAAAATACGCCAAAATCTGCATAAGAATGAGTTGTGAATTTTCATGAGTAAAGTATAATACATATTACGTTATGAGGTAAATTATGATCAAATATGAACATTCGAGATTGGCTAAAAAATATACAATTTATACATTATTATACAGAAGATACTTTTAATTGTCAAACATCGGGTAAAAAAATATTTTTCCCGAACTACACTTTTGTTTGTGTTTCCTTCATAAAAACTCCAGCGCAGAAAACGAAGTATGCAATAAGTATTTTTCTACTTTTCAGTGATTGACATAAAATTCCACTCTTACTACTACAAAAAAAAAAATTCAATAAAATTTTTACCAACAATCAATTACGCCGAAATAAAGTACACGATTGATCGTAAAAGCTAAATCACAAAACACGCGGCTAAAATACTTTTCCAAACGACAAATTTTGCGCCTAAAAGTTGTCACGAGCATGATTACAGTAGCACATCCCCTACTATACTCAATACACGTGAAAAAGAGTGGGAGAGAAAAAAACAATTCAGACAATCGCTCTCCAATCGCACCCGATTACAACTATCGTTTTCACAATAACATGTACACCCGCAAAGACTCTCTGATCCTCTGATGATCCAAAACTCAACCATCGCGCTCATGTGCACGATGCAATACACCCTCATATTACACTCACACGGAGGTGCGTTGTTTGTAAACATACACGTCGCAAAGTTAACAAATAAATAAAGAGACGAGGGTACGGGGCGTCGGTGGCAGCCCCTATGAGTCGCCGTTAAGAGGCGTAAGTCTCGCGAAAACGGCGCTGGAGGTGGTGGTAGGCTGTGAGGACGCCCTTCTTCTTTTTCTGGAGGCGGCAGGGCGCGGATTGTTCCTGGCTGCCGGGGAGCTTGACGTCGAAGGCGAAGGGCTCGATGGCCACGTCGTCGTCCGGCCGGACGTAGAAGGCGATACTGTGGCGACGACAACGTGGAGCTAGTGGGACTACCCGGTGGCGCAGGGCCGGCAGGACCCCGGTTGTCCAGCAGCTTAGGAGGTCGCCGCTGTTAACGAGGATGGCACCTGGCAAGTGGCCTACGCGGACCCACCGCTCGCTCCGGGGGCTCTGCACCTCGAAGCCGCCCTCGCAGTCCTGAAAATTTTTTTTTTTTCCCAAAGAAAAAGCGTAATTATTAATGTTTATTCCCACTTGTTTAATCATTTGCAATCACGAGGATTTTTTTTTTTTTTAACTAAGTAACGGAGGTGGTTATTGGGAAGATTAGATCAAGATATCTACGTGCTGTTAGGTCATAATGGAGGGGGATACATTAAGTAAGTAAATGTAGGTAAATTAAGTAATTCGTGCAAATCGTAAATGGTTAATTTTCTCTTTAAAAGCATTTTTTTTTTTTTTTTTTTTTTTTTTCCAATTATAACTGTTTTTTATTCTCAGCAACAGGTTTCGGTCTCGCATAGCGAATACCTACTTAAATTTTTTATTTTTTATCCACGTAAGTACTTGAATTGCAACGATATTGTAATCACGGCAATTATCCATTAATTAAAAACCTCATTAGCCACCAGTATTTATACGAGTGCGAAGCGAACATTGTACTAAACATTGGTTTTTTTTCTCCAATTGGCATATTAAAGTGTTGTTATTGCGGGAAAAAAAATTATTTCAATTACTCGTAAGCTTGTGTTGTATGGCAATAAAACGTAAATCCATTAATATACAGATAGTCGATCGAGTTTTCCTTGTTCTCGGCAAAGCAGCGGGCCATAATCCAAACGTGTTTTATAAAACTTACAATGAGAAGACGTAATAGGTAAATGATTTTTTTTTTTTTTTTCCAATTACCGTAAAGACTATACATAGTGGTAATGACGCAAGACGCGTTTTTGCGATTAAAAATGTTTATTTTCAGTAACGACCATTAATTGACTGTAAATTCTTCATACATATATAGTCAACACACTTTTCCTCTTGCGCAATACAAGGAAAAAAAAAATTAAATCCTAGACCACGTCGTTTATATAATAATATTAGAAAAAAAATTATTGACATCTTCGTGAGAATAAAAGATATAATACGCGATTCGCGTGAAAGGCAATCGACGCGAAAATATATACATTACAATATATGTATACAATGCAGTAGAGGCATCCTTCGGTGTCGAAATATATTTCTCTCGGTGTAATAAATAAATAAATAATTGCGTAAGAGTCGAGCAAGCGTCAATTATTTCTCATCGACATCTCAATGAAAGGGAGTTATATTGTACACGTACATAGGCACTGTGTGGTTTATTTATAGAAAGGAAAAAAATACGAAGGGGTCGATTTTAGCGAATGTGTTCGATTCAACTTTTTCGGAGCAATATGAGTGTTTACTAGGATACCTTAAAAAGTTACAATGAACATTCAAAAGAGCCCGAATGACAACTTACATACTGTACAATAGGCCTTACATAGAACACTAGAGACATTGGTTAATTTTTTGGAACCATTAACAATAATTTCAATGTAGAGCATTTAGTCTCACAATACTGTTGTAAATTTTATTTTTTATTTTTAAGGAATACTTTTCAAGAGAATATTTTCACGGTGGCCCAAATGATCACATAATGTCATAACGTCAAGCTTAGTCATCTTGAATTGAATAATATTCGTTTGCAGGTCAATCTCACGGTACTGATAGGTACGATTTATTCGCTATGATGAAAAACCCCTTGGCTTAAATAGTTGATTCAACTCACGCGTTTTTCACGTTACTGTGTAAACATCACCAGGTGTATATTATTTTATCGATAAGCACAAAGAGTAGAACATTTTTCACACTCGAAGCGTCATAAATATACTCTATGAGGCACAATAATTATCTTCTTTGTTAAGAGTGAAATACGTGTTACGAGCACAATAAAATTTTTCTTCATTGATTTCCCAGAATCCACACAACGCGAAAAATCATCTTCACTTTTCGTTTTTAATAATGGATAAAAAAAAAGTTTCAAAAATACAAACGTAGAACCGCTCTTGGATATATATATGTATGCACACACACCAATAATGTGTGCCAATCAAAAAGACGAGTGAGAAGATGAATAGGAAATTTTTATCTACGATTTCCACTGCATCGTGACGAAGGACGCTATACCGCGTGTGTGAATCAGCGACACGCGCCGCCACTGATTGTACGCGTGTTGCACGTATATTAAGCAAGTATAGACGAGCTTTGAGGTCGAGCGCGAAAAAAAAAAAAATCGTGAGCACTTGAAAAAATCACGCGCTTTGCACAAGGAACCTGAAGAATTGTCTCGAGCATCATTCGAGCGATTATATTTACATTGTCAAATGCTAAACAAAAAAAAAAAAAAAAAGACAGCAGCGAGGCTATCTTCCACGGGGCCGTTTAAACAAAGACCGGCGGCCTCATTGTTCAGGGTAAAAGATGATTGTTAAGGTGACAGGATACTTATATCTGAACTCATCAGTCTCTGTGCTGTCAGAGGTAGCGGTGTATCGTAAAACGTCGGTCTGTCTTGTTTTACAACGCTTACAATACATAAATACATTTGTTTTTTTAATTTTTAAACTGTAACTATTATTACAATCTTTTTTTTACAATTTACCTTGGAAAAAAAAAAAACAATTTAGGGTCATTCCAAAGGAATTCGATTAAATATTTAATTTAACGTTTAATTTAAGAAACACGTGTTTATTAAATTAAGTTTAATAACTGTATTTCTTTGATACTTGGTATCATATTGTTTAGGTTTTAGATGGAAAAACTATACCCTTGGAAGAACCCAACACATAAAAATAGTTGAAAAAAGTGTAAAGGTAAATGAGTACATCAGCAAAAGGTAAAAAAAAAGCAGAAAAGGATGAAGGGGGAAGGAGCACGAGGGCGTATTAATGTTGAATGTATAAATTTAACATGTATAGGTAAGTGTGCGAGTAAATGATATGAATTGTATACCTGAGCGATGAGAGTGAAAGTGCTGTAGTCACAGTGGGCGTCGCAACGCGTGTCGCCGGGCTCGGGAGCGCCCAGGGCCGGATAGTAAAGTAGTCTAAGGGTCGACTCGTTGCCCGGCTCGAGAATCTTCGAGTGCTTCGACAGGAAAAAATCCGGGGTCTTGTCCAAACCCACGGCCAGTGCCTGGAGTAATTTACATTACATTTGCGCGCCGTCAGACTTAACTTTTTTGTTTTTTTTTCGCTTGTTCGATTGTTTTTTTTTTTTTTTTTTTTTGTTTTTTCAAACACGTACGGTTAATAACATCGTGGTCAATTGCTTGAAATCCCGAGACAGCTCCTTGACGGCGCTGCCGAAACCCGGTACCTCCTCGTCGGGCATCGGACCACCCGATCCCGTCGCGTTGAACAAGTGCCGCGCTTCCTCCTCCTCCTCTTTGGTCATTCTACAATCACAAGAGTCACGCAATATTATCATCCATAAAAAAACCGATTACTTTTTTGATTGGCCCATGAGGCGGTACGAGAAATCAAAAGTGAAACACATGAGTAACGAGGAAGGAAAAAAAAAAAAAAAAAAAGTAGCAATAGAGAAAAATGTTCTTAGCAAGTTGTATAAATGAATCTCTCAAAATTACCTTTCCACTCCAGGTTTGACGTAACCGTGATTCGAGGGTGCAGTGCGCTCGTACTTGAGGCGCGCCTCCTCGGGCAGCTCGCAGAATTCATCCATGGCTCTGTACACTGCTTTGAGCTGCAAAATCAAAAGAAACAGGGCAAGACGTTAATTTTGTTTCCATCCACCGAGAACTCATGCCCTAAGCTCATCTTTACCATCCATAAAAGTAAAAATATGCGCTAATCTTCGCTACTTTATATTACAAATCACGTAAGAGGCGAATATTGTGCAAACAGTTTAAACTGCAGATGCAATAAGGACCGTCTCGCTCGTTATATATGTAATCCGTATTGAGTATAAGTTGCAACAATAAAATAGCAGTGAAGACTACCGACTGTATATATATTTGCCCCGACTTTTATCGGGTATGGCTGATCTCGCGATTTCTCAAAATTCCTCCTTTGTATGCCTTTCTCGCTCGACTTTCATCTCCTCTAGTATAAGTATTACGGCCGTTTTAGCTCTTTGCATGAAACTACCCAAAAAACGTCAAGATGTGATCCTTCGCGGTAAAAAAAGTTTTTTTTTAAAGCAGCCCACACTCGCACTGATTCCAACCCATAGGTGTATAGTGTATTAATTTGACCTACGAAAAAACGCTCACAGCTATAAAATATAAACACACATAGTATGTACGTATTTACAATTATTCGCTTGTACCAATTTATCGATGCTGATTTTTACTTGAATAATATGGGTGTAACTGATTTTACATGTTGTAAAAAAAAAGTTTTTCTCAATCGATATCTGGGATGTACGTACACTCATTTTGTAAAACAATAAATATCAATTAATGTAACGAATTCATTATACTCGGGTGCAAAATGGAAAAAAACAACACACGTACCGAAGCATATTTTTTTATCGAGATCAACAAAACGCAGCAAATTCCTGTGAATGCAATACGGTCATAAATTGTTAGCTTGATTCTTTCAAATTCATATCAATAGCCTGATGTGTTATTGAACTGTTTTTCATTTCTTTCTCTTTTCTCGTTCGAATTTATGTGGGTTGCGAGACACTTACTGTCACGCTTCGATCCTTTATTACGGAATAATTTGTCATTGTTACGCGAATTGGAGCACTATCGAGTGCAAATAATTCTGCCTTTGTTGTATTTCTCACTCGCGTGAGTCTACTTTATCAGCAACAATGGTGATTTTTCGCTCGTATATGTAACTTTTTCTGCTAATTTGGAATTTTTTTAAAAAAGAGTAAAACAATGCACGCGTGACAAATGAGTTCTTGTGTTATAGTATAAAAATACACCATCAATGAATAAAAAATAAAAAATCATCAACATTGTACTTCTATTGAAAATAACTACCGATCAATTAATAATCACAACCTCGCACGATTTAACAGTTCTATTGCGCGTAATTCACGCTTATTGAATGCAATTTTAAACCAAGTAAACCAGTCACTACTAAAAAATTTTAAGTATTTCCTGGCTCAATATCTCAGCTGTGTACAGTTTTAGCATAACGACAGAAATGTGCGGCTGCTGATGCGAAAAAAAAAAAAAAATGGAAAAAAGCAAAAATCCTATACTTGGTGCGAGATTTATGTATTTAGGATGGGCTTGTCGTGATGTTCCTAATTTTGTTTCTCTTGTAGGGCTGCCGATGCTTCGCTGTCTCGGCTCGCAAAAAATTCCGACTTATTTCGGGCTCGCCCCTTTTCCTACTTCAGTACCGTCGAGTCGCGAGGGATAAACCGAGGAGGCTGTTCACCCTTTGGTACTGTTTTTACGTACAGTATACGTAATTTTTTTTATTCGACACTGATATTTTGTTCAACAATATTTTAATTTGTTACGGATTCCAAAGTGTCGAGTAATAAAGTTTACACTGTGAATCGCAATTTTTGTGAAGAAGAATTATTGTATCAACAAGGACTCGATTGTTACATTTACCCCACCGCAAAATGACACAGCATTTCATTTAAGTCTCGCTTTATTAAGATTCATAAGCTACAATAAAAATAAAAAAATTGCATCGAGTCTCTTATCGCTGTGCGTGAAGACTATAAATACTCATCATAAAAGAAGTGCCTTGCATTCGCAATAAAAAAAAAAAAAAAAAAAAACAATAACATAAATGAATGAGCCAGCAAGTGCAGAACAGATAATGAAAGTTGTATCACCTATACCCATATATGTACATGAGAAATTCCAAAAAAAAACCTCTTTTTCAATCAGAAAAATATTGGAATTCGCCAATAAGCTGATGCGACCGTATTAAAGTCGTAAAAACAAATTTGAAAAAAAAAAAAAAAAAAAAAAAAAAAAACTGAATTTTGTCTGAGCAGATGCTGTTTAAAATACACGTAATCATGTGAAATGACGCGCGAGAAAGGAGCTTTTGAATGAAACAACTTATTTATAGATTAAAAATTTCTTCCCATCGCATCTTTTGATGTAATTTTGTTCTTCTGATCAGCTAAAAATGGAAATATTCTAATGTGCCCAAGTCGGCTCACACGTTTACTTCTCACGGCGACCACGTTTTTTCTAATTCATCGCACGACAGGGTGATAAAAAAAATGAGAATGGTTTAAATGTTGTGTGCAAAAAAAAAAACTTTTTTATGTAAAAAGATAATTTTTTTTGGAATAACCCATGTGCACGAAACTGCATTTAAACATAAAAGTCATAAGCATAAAGGATAATCCGTGACACGACGATGGCGACTACGACGAAGAAAACGAACTAATTTCCTGTATCGTCACTTGTAATGCAAAATGCACACACGCGCCACTATATCTATGCACGTGTACATATACAATACAACACACACATAAACACACATGCACGAACTCACTGGCGCAAGTAAAGCATAATATGTAGCCAGTGGGGCGTTTAGCACGATAAGGCGTTCAACAATCGCTCACTCGCGGCAAGGTCAGCGCAACCCAATGCTCTTTATCATCAATCATTATGATGATTATTAGCGATGAGTTTCCGATTCGAGTGTTAGTGTGCGATGCATGTGTGATTCTTATGAAACTGCGCGCATGTACCTTTTCCTCTCCTCGGTCTCGGACACTTGTTGCATAACAGTGATAAAAATAATGTATTATTCCTCGTGGTAAGCATACTTGCGTATTGGCCAGGTGCATGTCATGCAGCGCCACCCTTGGTGTCAAAATCATGCAACCGCAGGTACCCACATTATACGTCAACAGCAGACACCGGTGCACACTTTGAGTAATAATTAATTAATTAGGAAAAAATCAGTGTATTTATTCATCTGATAATAGATGTTATCATAAAAACAGGCTTTAGGAATATCACACGCTCGATTTGTTTTAACTCTGAAGCTTTAAAAAGAGGTAAACAGTTGGTTAAAAGTAGTCATGTGTGCGATGTTACAGAATTTCAAAGTGATGGAGTTAGCAATTTGACGAGTGCCGTCGTAATAAGGCAGACCTTGGTAACTTCACTACTAACAAATAACTACTTTTATTTACAGTTGGATAATCATCGAAATTTATGTAATTTTACTTCATTTATATTTGCCCTCCTGTTACACTGAACAACACAACACTTTCTTATATACACCCACATTTTGTAAACGTTTAAATAATAGAAATCACAATGATTATGTCTTATTTCGTACATTTATCTTTCTTTTTGCCGTCTGCTTCTGAGAGTGTGCTCTGGATCGAAAAATAACGAGGCTTCATTAATAAGTATGTTGTTACATTCAAACATTTAACAACCGTTTTTGGCACCGCATACCTCATTTTTTTACATTAGTGTAACTGCAATTTCATAATATTGATACTATTTATGCATATGTGATGATAACATCTGTAAATTTGACGAAATACTGTCATTATTTCCTTAATTAAAGAAAATAACAGTTATTTGGTACCCCAGGTTTCTTGTTTTCGTCACTACGCACGCTGGCGTCGACTCATCTATCCCCTCCCATCACTTGCACCTGACCAATATATACGTCAAGGTGTCATGTAAGGTATACGCGAGGCACATACATGTTACTGTTGGATACGTGTATTATAAATTGGTATTGGGAACGAAAACTAATCGGTAAAGCCTTAGTTTCATTTAGAGCTTATGTTGATTCATGCGCAGTAATTTTTATGCTCCAATATGTAATTTTAGCCATTTATGGTGCTAATGACAAACAAAACGTAAAACCGAATAATCGGTAGATCAACTGTTTACATATTATGTTATCGAAAACTGCATTTATAGGAAAATAATAATGTGTCGTAGCCCCGATTTTTGTTAAAAGAAGTTTCTGTTTTGTGAAAAAATTATAATTAATTAATAAATAAACAAGTATACGAATACACTATACAGACAAACACATCGAAGACATCGGACCAGGAGCATATAATTATATAATTGCTTATGTTGCGTTGCCGCTGACTTACCTTGCAGTCGGGAATGCCATGGTTCACCAGGAGAGCGAGTCCCTTTTCGGAGAGCGCCTCGGCCAGCTTTGTAGCGACCTGCTTCACGACTCCCTTCTGCGGGCATCTCTCCGTACCTGAAACCAAACCGACCAAGTCTTTTTATACCTTCGTATATCCTTCCTTTCCTTTTTCCACTTGCACAGTACACATTCACGTACACACAACATATTTTGCACGCATATATAATATGTACTCGTTTATGTTATCTGCACTCTGCTGCTTCGACAGCGCTCTCTTTCTCTCTTGTCTTTTGTTTCTTTTCTCATCTCAAAGCTTGATGGGTAAAAGTGGTTTCTTTTTCTCGGTAACTATGTTTTTATTCTTTTTTTTTTTTTTTTTTTTTTTCGCACAGATATACATGTCTTGCACGCATGCTTATATCGAACGTGGGAGTGCAAAGGAAAGCGAATACAAAGTCACGAGAGTTTTTCGTACATGCGTAGGTATATGGGTAGTTTCGCAAAAACTTTGCTATTTCCTGTGCTCGTTTGAACCTCCCGTTAATTTAACTTTAAATTACCAAAACACATTTTGCAAGTTCCATACTTATACCTATCAGAACATTACGTTTTTCGTTAAATCAGCCACGTAATAGCAAAGTCCGTGAATTCAACATATAATATACGCACAAATAAAACAAATAAGTCAAAAAAGAAGAGCGAGTCCTTTTTACTCTAATTAATTGCTTTGATTATTTAAAAATAGGTACGAGCGAATTTTTTAATTTTTACTTCATACATTATGTTTGGACCCTATATTGGCTCGCCTCAAATTAATCATTGTAGTTCTTGAGTAGTAATCGTGTTTTTTAAAAATGATCTTTACAGCTTTGCAATATATTAAACAGAGAAATGAGCACATAAACGCTCTACAGGTAAATTTTGATTCCACAAACAGCCGTGCATTGGTTAATCGTGTAGGGTGATGATTAATTTTGTTTTAAATTTTAGTAAGTTGTTTTTTTACGTAATCCTTCATACACACACGCGAATTGGTGTGTAAGAAAGTGCGCGGCTTTCAAATCCTAACACCCATGTACTAAAACACACTCAAGCATTACGATGCACACGAGAGCGCGAAAGCGCCGATTTTAGCGAAAGTGGAGACCCCGCAGACGTCGACCAGACGACCGACCATAGAGATCCCACGTTGTGGGTATAATATTGCAGAGAGACAGACAGGGGGAGGACAAAAGATAAGTATAGAGAACAAAATACCGGGGACGCGCGTGCCTTCCCCCCTCCAACCTTTTCTCTAACTCCCGTTTATAAAGATAATAATAGACGCCGCTGCGATGACGAGGAGCCGAAGGAGTTGCGTATATGTGTATAAAAAGATGGTGTGATGATGGCAATAGAGCGAAAGAGCGACGCTGTTTTTTCATCGGTCCTTTTTCTCCTTCGAAGGGCCCGTTTTATTGTTTATTGACTTTTGGTGCTTACATGCCGAGCCCACATAATATAAATCTACAGTAACGACATAAGCGTATCAGTCGCTCAATCAAACCTTTGTTTGTTTTTTTTCAACACCTAATAGGTATACAAGAATATACCCATCACATTAGAGAAGAAATCGACTATATGTGTATAACTTTTCCTTTTTGCGACGCATTTATTATATAACATAATAGAGGCAGCTTATCAAACGAACACGCGCCACGCGAGATATAATAATATGATCTCCTCGCGCTCGCGTGCCTCTCCTTTGTGTTATCATACGTATCCTTTAAGCCGAATGATATACAATCGCCATGATAATTTATTACGCGTGCCAAATGAAAAAAAAAAAAAATCAAGTCCAAGAAAGTAACTTAATCGGTCTTTTCTCGCTATCTGATGTTTTAGCTTTTTTTTTTTTTTTTTTTTTTTCACTTNAAGATTGGTCCAAACGTCATCTACATACCATTAATTGAGACTCGTGATTGGCGTTGAACGTGTAGATCTACGCCTAAATGTATAGGCAAAAATATATCGGCAAGGATGAACTATCGGAGTATACCTACTATGCGGTCTTTTCTCGCTATCTGATGTTTTAGCTTTTTTTTTTTTTTTTTTCTATTTTGTAATTTGATACGACTACATGAAATGAGGTGGGCGGTCGCGAGAACCGGGTTTACTTTGCATATATGTGTATATAGGAATGGGGGGTGATGATAAAGACCAAACCAGTTGGTGATAGGCGTGCGTATATTACGAGGACAGCTGGGTCCTTTTGTATATCTCGGAAGCAAGTGTTGCTCAATTTCTCGAAATAAATGCTTTTGCCCAATTTTTGGCGAGCGAAAGCGACGACTGTACGTATAACCATCGTGAAAAGTGGCATACGGGACCATATGATTTTATTTTTTTGCTATAAAATTTCTTGTATTAATATAAATTTATAGGTATACACGAAGATGCATATAATATATTTACTTCAGGGTTTTCATTACAGTGTCAATGTTTGCGTGATTTCAGGTGATCGTCATAATATCACCAGCTGAGACGCATTTGTCGGGAAGCCAAAACTCGGGCCATTTGCCAAAACAATCAAAATGATTTTTCTCGATGCCGAGCTTAAACTTAATATTAAAACGCATACATTGTCCGTACGTCACATATATTTTATACACGTTGAAATCTTCGAAAAATCATACAACGTGTATATAGGTTGGTCATTTTGTGTGGCATACTCTCTTAATACTTTCACGTTGAAACCAAAATAAATCAGATACAGTTTTTATTGTCACTTTGCTTGCAGATGATGAAAATTGGAATATTCGTTCGAGCTTTAATTTGGGTCCTCGAAAAAGTGCTGATTCGATTTTCAATCAGGTAGGTATCGATAGATCAAAGTTCTGCCCCAACTGAAGCTCGTTTTAAGCACTTTTTGAACAAATGTTCTCTTTGACCTAATTTATTGTGCCGCCACTTGTATTTTTCTTTATTAGGATGAAAAAAGAAGAGTACGTACCACAAAGCAAGCCGATCTCAAACTGCGTGATTTTTTCGGAGATTCGGACGTGTACGTGCCAAATACCGTGGCTGTTGTCGGCGGCCCCGATTTGGAGAGTCCGTCTCGCGAGGGCCGAGAAAAACAAAAAGCTTTGATCTCCCCGAGCGATTAGGTAGGAGCATCAATATCGACGATTGAGAGTGTCGGAAAGACGAATATAAGCGCCCGATCTTCTCGCGAGAGCGCGTTACCACTTGAATTAAGAGAGAGAGCAGAGGCGCGTCGACCTCGAATGTGGATCAGGGCAGCGCGCCAAATCAAGATCGGAACCCCGAGGCTCGTAAATATTACCCTCGACTCTATACCTACATGACGAACAAAGTCAATAAGTGTCATTGCGATCTATCGAAAGTGCCCCTGTGCGTACACGTTCATCCATAGCCCTATCCTCGAAAAAATTCTCAAATTGGCAAATCGTTTGTGGCATTTGGACAAATTTTTCAAGTTGGCTATTAGGCGTGATTTTAATCTGCTGATTGATTCGTTCCAATTTACTCTAGTTCTTAGGATTTATTATTATTTTACCATTACGTACTTTGTTTCAATAATAATGTTTAAAGCCTCCTTCATTGATAGTTCGGATGTCACTGTTTCCTCATTATTGATGAGTTTTTGCAATGTTAGTGAATTGAGTTGAAAAAAAAAAAAAAAATAAAATAAAAGCTATCTTTTGAAAACATATTTTTTCGCAAGAGCAATCGAGTTGCACGTAACGAGATGCAAAAAAAAAAAAAAAAAAAGAAATCAAAAGTAGGAGTAGGCAGAAAACTCTCTCCGTTTGCGCATTCATTGCTCGTCGCGGCGTCTATACGATTTTCCCACTATACGCGCATACTGCGTAAGTACAAGCAGCGACTTATGTACGAATAAAGGGTATCTGCCGACGTACATTGTTCGCGTATGGATCGGTTTTTGCAATGCAGGTAATAAAGACGAAAAAAAAAGAAAAGTTGGGGTAGCCGTGTACCCCCTCTAATCAACACCTCGTATCTGCTCAAAAGGTAAAAAAATGTGAGCAAGGAGGATGTGAGCAAAAGCTAAAAAACGGAGACGCGCACGTCAGCTCACTCTCTTCCCCGGGAGCGTGAAAATGACGGCATCCATCAACGCTCAATTAACTCTTCTCTCGTTACACGCAAATTCGTCCCGACTCGACCGGCGCTGTGGCATCCTCATGGTGCATGAGAACACATGGCTGCGACGTAATGCTCCTCCTCCTCTTCTATTATACATATACACGACGTCGCGGTGTCATGATGATGCGACCGAGGACGACTACGGCCGTGGCTGTACAAAAACATGTATCCGCACGAACGACAATGAGCGCTCTAATTGCCTAATCTAAGCGTGTATTTGTGTAATTACCTATACAGGCTGGCTGGATTTTTTTCACCTCCACTTGCCGTTCATTTGATCAGTACGTTTCAGCAGAGGTATCTTTTTCGCGTGTCGCGCCTTTACATTGAGACTAATGGCTCTGTAGAGTGTGTATGTAATTCGCGCGATTGGGTGAACGAGAGTGCGAGTGATACCGTGGAATTGCGAGCAAACGAGGCAAGAGAAGAGAGCAACAATGACCGAGCCACTTTCGATGGATTGGAATGCGCGCGCGATGAGCTTTCATTTTGTTATTGCGATTTATGGGCATTTCATTATTGGGACGGTTTGATGTTTTTTTTTTTTTTTTTTTTTTTTTTTCATCATCTTACAATCAATTGCTCACCTCGAATTAGAGTGCGTATCGAGTATTTAAAAAGATTGGTCCAAACGTCATCTACATACCATTAATTGAGACTCGTGATTGGCGTTGAACGTGTAGATCTACGCCTAAATGTATAGGCAAAAATATATCGGCAAGGATGAACTATCGGAGTATACCTACTATGCGACAACAACAAAACAATATAAGGATGATTTATAAGTTCCACGAATTTGGAACGAATCAAAGCGGTGTTTAAGCTTAACACTGGGCTAACAAGGCAAATGTACATTTCGTATATTCACAGATGTATAATATGCACCATAGATGATGTACTGTATTACTGCACTTTGCAAGAGCGCGCCCGTATGTGTGTATACC